ATTCAAAGAATTTGTAAGAATTTGTTGCAAAGAAAACGGTGTTGCTTTGTCATCCCTGCTGAACATCAGTAGTCAGACTGACAACTGCCATATCAAAATGTTATAGTTATTACCATAAATGCTTGTAACAACATAATACAATAACTCACTTTTAACATTTGTCTGGAAATGTTTTCGTCACAGCATTTCCTTAGCTCGGGTTTTCGGATCTTGGACTTCCGAAAATCCCCTGTTTTCTATATATGTACTTAAATGGTCGGGGCAACACAGGCGAAGTAGCGAGGGTTCGTATTATCCCCTTAAAGAAAGAAGGAAAGAAAATACGAGACACTGCTGACCGTGTTTGTCGGCAAAGGTCCACCGGCTTACGCATCCTTGTCGCGAGTATAGGTCTATATCATTATAAATGAACTTACCCACGCCCAGGCAAGACAAAGAAAACTGATACGCTCATCCATTGTGCTGTGATTAGTACCCCACTCATTGCAACCAGTGAATACTCAGTGAAGAAAAATACCCAGAACGCCTAAAAGATGTAGAAATAGCCTTACGGGACCGCCTCCAGCATGAGTGAACCTGCCCGCGCGAAAAGCCACAACAAAACCTCCTCAGCAAGAGTATGAAAATACCTTTAAATGTATATAAACAAGTTTGATAAATGTGTCGTCCAGATGGAAGTAACAAATTTGACCCTCGTTACACTGGCAAGGTAGTAAAACAGTATGTGTGTGTGTGTATTCACGTGTATTTTATATACATATATACATACATACATATGTATACATATATATACATACATATATATATATATATATATATATATATATATATATATATATATATATATATATATATATATATACATACATATATACGTGTGCGTGTGTGTCTGTATGTATATGTGTGTGTGTTACACTGACAAGGTAGTAAAACAGTATGTGTGTGCTCTCTTTTCTTTATATATGTCTATCCGTCTTTCTCTTTCATTCTGTTTCACTCTATCTGTTTCACTTTCTGCCTTCTTCAGTTTATATGTCTGTTTGCATGTCTGTCCATCTATCAACCAGAATCATCTCTATAGTTTTTCATTTCTATTTCTATAATATCATTTTTTGTCATCTTTTTAAATTACTTGACCATTTCCTCTTTTCCACTTCGTGTCCACAGATGCTGAAGTGTCATGGCTGGCGAGACATAACGAGACTCCATTCCTATGAAATGACCCTCTTTCAGCAGCGTCACTGAGGCCCTGTCTGAAGGAAGGGCGTGGCGAGACCATCCTGCGACGTCTTCGGAGGAAAGGGAGTGAGGAAAATAATTCTACTGTTTCATTATTCTCTTCCACTCATGCAGACACAAAGCAAGCACATGCAAACTTGAAACACCACAAGCATTATGCGCACACGCACAGACAACAGACACACACACAAGTATATATGTATATATATATATTATATATATATATATATATATATATATATATATATATATATATATATATATATATACACACACATATACATATACATATATATGTATGTTTGTATGTATGATGTATGTATGTATATGGATATTTACATACATATATTTGTATGTGTGTGTGTATGTGTGTGTGTGTTTGGAAGATAATGCATCATGGCACTGACTCTCATGCCGTGTCTTACTTCCTATTTCTACACTTTCCCCTGAATTACCGACAACATATCAACTCACCAGGAATAACACACTGACCAGAAGAGCGAGCGCAGGTGCCAATGTTGATTCCGTAATATCGACAGCATTTCCCACGCAAGTGTCTTTGGATAAGTCTTGATTATGGGATCTTGGAGATGACTCACAACGATGAAGGATTAGGCAATAATGACAAATGCTGATGATAGAATTAATTATACTGAATAGATAAATGGATGAGTTACATAAGGCTTACCTTTAGGCTTAATGGAATTAGATATAAGTATTATGTTTTCTTCATTGAATTTACATATTGGTATATTTAACGTTGTGAATACGCATTTGTATAACGGACCGTGCACACAAGAAAATAGTTTAAAGCAACGATTTAAGCCTTCTAACATTTGAATCTTTGGTGAAGTGTAATATCAAAGTGACATGACTTAAAAAGTGATTCACGCAAGCAAGCCTGAAAGATACATTTTATTGTTTCTTCGCTGTTTATTGTATCGCATTTTTGTTTTTTAATTATGGGAAACTAATATCTATCTATCTATCTATCTATCTATCTATCTATATATATGTATTTATGCATGTATACGACTGTCACTGTGACATCCAAGTACGGGAAATAACACGAGCATGGTCATAAACAAGTCCTGGAAAAGATTATAAAAAAATGAATGTATGACTACATAACAAAAGCGAATCAGCGAATCTCATGAAAGTGAGCTAAAAAAAGGTGCTGAATAAAGAAAAGAACGGAAGGAGAAACCTCCGACCGAGTGTGTGAGAGGCTTTCAATCTAAAGTTCGAGCATTATATAAAT